AGCGCCCTGCCCCTGAGCCACTGACAAAGTGAGACTCTTTCTCAAAAAAGAAAAATAAAAGGGGCTTGGGGGGTGGTGGTGGTGGGTGGAGGAAAACCTGTCCTGCTGAACCAGGAAGTCTGCAGGACCCATGAGAATGTGGGTATGAGGTAACCTAGGTAATAAAAAAGACAATAAACGATGACCAATAGAAAAGGACAACGTTGCCTGAGGGCTCAGAGAGGCCAGGGAAAGACTTGCAACCGATTTCAAACCCGAGAAAGGGTATTAATGTCCCTGCAGGCCTGTGCACCTCTCTCTCTGTCTCTCACCTCTCTCCTTCACCCTTCACAGGAGGGACTCACTTCCACCTCTCTTTGGAAGTGCTCTAAGTTTTCTCTTTGTTCCTCCTACGTAAATCTCTGTTACACTGAAATTTGTGCAGGTTACTTTTCCCTCTCACGCTGCCTGTGCTGCTCAGCTTTAGTTCCAGCTTCCATTCGTTGTAACTTTCTGTCTCTGATGAACTGTCTCACTCAGCTGAGGAATCAAAACAAGTCAACTGGGTTTGGAGAACCGGGACCCCTGACCTCCCATATTTTTAAAGTTATATTTTAAAAGGTATAAGCAAAGCCATGAAAAGAAGGGTGAGCTACTGGGGGGTGTGGTCGATCACGCCTATATTCCTATCACTTTGACAGGCTGAGGTGGGAGGATCCCTTGAGCTCAGGAGTTACAGACCAGCCTGAGCCAGAGTGAGACCCCACCTATACTAAAAATAGAAAATTAGCAGGGCATTGTGGTGGGTCCTGTAGTCCCAGCTACTCGGGAGGCTGAGGCAAAAGGATTGCCTGAACCGAGGAATTTGAGGTTGTTATGAGCTGTAATGACAGCACTGTTCTCTAGCCAGGGTGAGAGAGTGACTCTCTCAAAAAAAGGGTAAGCCACAAAGCTACAATAGTGCCCCCTCCTGATCTTTTTTGTCCTGTGTTTGCCTTGACTTTGTCCTAGCCGTAGGATGAGTGATGCTTTATTGACTTTTGAGTGGCCTAACTACTAAAGGGTTGGGTTTGGGGGGGCTTTTATGTTTTAAATATTGATGTATTTCACTTAGAACATCAATCCTGAAACTAGACTGTTGCAAAGGTAGCAATCTTGACTCAATTATTTGCATTCAATCACGAAATAGTGTTTCCCAGCCTCTGCCTGCTTGCCAGTACAGAGGCTGGGGAATAGATTCACCAACTTGCAGGGGGCAAGAGCAGCTTATGGCCAAACCACCGGGCTCTTTATACTTTCCCTCAATACGCCTTTCTAAGGAGTGGTCCTGGGTGACTCCAATTATTTACATTTAGTTGGAACAACCATCTCAGTGAAGTCTCACGGCTTAAATAAAAGGCAGGAGCTTGATCCCTAACCATTACGGGTTTGTTTTTCTCAGGGGAGTAATGGACTAATCTTTGACTAATCAAACTTCCCTTTGAGAAGAACCAAACACCGAAGCAAAACCCATACTTTTTCTCAAGACCTGAAGGACATTGCCTTTCGTTGTGTGCTATATTCTGGCCCTCCGAAAGCCTCCACAGGGTTAACGTTTCAGGAACAAAGTTGTCATCACTAAACCATGCATACTGATGAGATTATAGCCCCAAGGTTTATGAAATCTTGATAAACAGGAAATTAGAAGTTTGAAACTACTGCCCCTACAACTGCAGTGACATGCCAGGAGAACCCAGCAGGGCAGCAATTCTGTATTCATGTTCAAATTAGTAGGGCCCTTCTGGAGTACGTGAACCCCAGGACTGCAAAATATGCAAATATTCAGATACTTTAGGACTCAGTTTAGAAAAATTAAACAACAGGATGCATAACACAAGACCAAAGACAACCAGCTACATCTGGGTGCTTCTCTGCTGGGGTCAGGGTTCCCTAATGCTCCCAATAAGGGCCTAATTTAGGTAGACCAGGGGTTTTCTAAGCCATTTTTCAAAAGCCAAAGAAACATAATGATTTGAAAAGCTTTTGCTTTAGCAAAAATCCTTATGATTCTATTTCTCTAATCGTTATTCAACGGCTTGGTGAAAATGAACTGAGAAAAATGCCTCTTCTTTTCTCTCTTTTTTGTCTGCTTGGAGCCAGAGTCTCACTCTGTTGCAGGCGGCTGTGAGCATCTGTTGCCGCCCCCTTTTACCCTTTTATCCTATGTTCATTGTCTTTCAGTTTCTCACCTGTCAAATCAGGACAACCTCACTAGGAGACTGTGAACAGAACAGGCAAAGAAAGCGAAGTGGCTTCAGTGCAACGGGGCAGAGCAAAGAGGTCGCACTAGCAGTCAGGGAGTAACAGTAATGATGCTAATAAAATACTAAGAGCACATAAATGTGCTGAATATTTTATCTGCATATAACTAATGAAGAAGCTACTGTTATCTTCATTTTATGGGAGAGGAAACTGGGAAGTATCTTCGCTCAGGTAACACAAACTTCCTGAAGGTGAGAAGTGATGGAGGCAGATTCAGCCTGGCTCAGGACCCCGCACTCTTCCCCCCATGCTGGCTGCTGCTTCAACACAAATTAAAGCAACTGTGACATTTGCCCCCCAATCAGATTGGCAACATTTCAAAACATCAATGCCGGGGAGTGTGCATGAGCATTTGAGGCAACAAGTGCAAACACAATATTTTAATAAAAGTATACCTTACTGAAGGCAATATGGCAAGTGTTATCAAAAATTTAATTAGGCATCTATTTAAAATAGATGGCCAGTCTACTTTCAGGAACTTATCCTCTTTTTGTTGTTGTTCCAGGAACTTATTCTTACAAAAACATTCCCAATGTTGTCAGTGATTCAATGGAGCACTGTTTTAATAGCCAAAAGGGCAGGGTGGACTTACTAAAACACGTTGTTACGTGAAGAACAGTTGTCACAGAGGATGGTGTGCGCTCATTCCATCATTTCCACTTCAAAGAAAGAATGAGGCTCTTGGTTCCTTTCTCTCCCTCCCTCCCCAAACACAAAACTCAGAAATAAGGTGTAAAAAAGAAATTATGTTATTTACAGATCAATCACATAATAAAATACTTATTTTTAAAAGTCACCAATACAACAATTGTACAAAGTCAGTTTGGAGTCAAGAACCTCTGAACTGTGTGTGTTGCAAATCCATCTACTTTACTGCAGTTTTCCAAAGGGATGTTGTCCAAATCCTGTGACTTTATGATTTCATATTTGATAACAAGTGAACAAAACCAATAATAAATATTCCAAAAATAATTTTTAAAAACACTCAGTGGTAAATGCTATTCTCAGTTGCAAAACAATCTATTATTCAAACTACCTAAACATTTCACGGAAGTCTGTAAAAAGTTATACAAAATTTGTATGTACATGTTCTTTTTTTTCAGATAGAGTCTTACTTTGTTGCTCTTGGTAGAGTGCCATGGCATCGTAGCTCACAGCAACCTCAAACTCTTGGGCTCAAGCAATTCTCTTTTTCTTTTTTTTTGAGACAGAGCCTCAAACTTTCCCCCTGGGCAGAGTGCCATGGCATTACAGCTCACAGCAACCTCCAACTCCTGGGCTCAAGCGAGTCTCCTGCCTCCACCTCCCAAGTAGCTGGGACCACAGGCGCCCGCCACAACACCCGGCTATTTTTTGGTTGCAGCCGTCATTGTTGTTTTGGCGGGTCCGGGTTGGAGACTTGAACCCGCCACCTTAGGTGTATGTGGCTGGCGCCCTAGCCTGTTGAGCTATAGGCGCCGAGCCTCAAGTGATTCTCTTGACTTAGCCTCCTGAGTAGCTGGGACTACAGGCACCTGCCACAATGCCCAGCTCATTTTAGAGACGAGGTCTTGCTCTTGTTCAGGCTGGTCTCGAACCCTTGAGCTCAGGCAATCCACTTGCCTCGGCCTCCCAGGGTGCTAGGATTACAGGCGTGAGCCACCACACCTGGCCCCATGTACGTGTTTAAAATCCTCATTATACTTTTAAGTAATAAGACACATAAAGAGCAAACGATTAATAATAATTAAAAGTTCTGGTAAGGCAGCTCTGTGCCTGTGGCTCAAGTGGCTAAGGCGCCAGCCACATACACCTAAGGTGGAGGGTTCGAATTCAGCCCGGGCTCACCAAAACAACAATGATAGCTGCAACCAAAAATATAGCCGGGCATTGTGGTGGGTGCCTGTGGTCCTAGCTACTTGGGAGGCTGAGGCAGAAGACTTGCTAGAGCCCAGGAGTTGGAGGTTGCTGTGAGCTGTGATGCCATAGCACTCTACCCAGGGGGATAGCTGGAGGCTCTGTCTCAAAAAAAGAATAAAAAAGTCCTGGTAAGTCAACAAACAGATAAAAGGCTAAAGATACAAGACACAAAACATTGTTTGCTCCCCCCATCCCAAAATACAAATTGTAGTTCCAGCTACTCAGGAGGCTGAGGCAAGAGAATCACTTGAGCCCAAGAGTTTGAGGTTGCTGTGAGCATAATGGCACAGCATTTAACCCCAGGGCAGACTGAGACTCTGTCTCAAAAAAAAAAAAAAAAAAAAGAAAGAAAAAAAACTTTAGACTTAGGCCAAGCCTAATTTTTGTTAAGTCACTGGATTGCCGTCTTTTTGCCACCTTCTGAAAAGTCTACTTCTGTTAGTTAGGTTTCTGGAAGCATCTGCTTGAAGCAGTAAGTCCCTAACATTTTTGGCACCAGGGACTGGTTTCAGGGAAGACAGTTTTTCCCTGGGGATTAGGGGCTGCATTAGATTCTCATAAGGCTGAGGATCACCACCCGAGATCCTTCACACAGTCATGCGGTGCACAGGAGGTTCACGCTCTGGTGAGAATCTAACCCCGCATCTGATCTGACAGCAGTGACTGTACACACAAAGGAAGCTTCCAGGCTGGGGGGGGCGGGAAGTTGGGGATCTCAGGTTAGTCCTCTAGTTCTGAAACTGACATCTGTGTTAATTTGGGAGACTTTCATCATGCAAACAGGGAAGCTTCTAGCAATCCTGAGAGATGTTGTATACACATGGTCTGTGGTGAGACCCACTTGTCTAGGCAATAACAGACACATCCCTGTAAGATTAGGCAGGCTCTGCATCCGACGACATACAACTTCCACCTGGGGCCTGAAAAACTCAATAGGAGGCTTTAACACTGGTTGAACTTGAAGAGTAAGAGCTCGATTTCCTAGAGGATTTCTTTGAGCTGAGGGATACTTGCATCTGCTTTACAGTCCGGACACTTCGACAGAGGAGAGCGTTCTTTGCGTGATCCCTGAAATCTTGTGAAACAAAGTAATAGACAAAGGGGTCAATGCAGCTGTTGAGGGTGGAGAGGCAGAGGGCTACGATGTACAGGACATAGACATGGCTCTGGCCTCGGCTTTTAATCAGGAAATAATGGACCACAAGCAGAAGGTTACTAGGCGCAAAGCAGATCAGGTACATGGCCAGGACGGTGATCACGAGCTTGACGGCTCTCTGCCTCTTCCTTTCTGAGTTTTCATCCATGGCCGAGGATCGCAGCATCCTGATCATCAGCACGTAGGCGGAGGCCGTGAGGACAGCTGGGAACAGAAAGACTCCAATGGCCAGAGACAGGAAGTAATTGAACATGTCTCCCACCAATACATCCTCAGGCAGAACATCGTGACAGGTGGTGATGTTAAGGGCTGGGATGAAGATGGTCTGCTTCACCACATACAAGGGGATGGTCACCAGCAGGATCAGCAGCCAGATGCCCAGGGAGACACCAATAGCAAGGTTTGCCTTCTTCCTGCCGTGGGCCATGGGGTTCACAATGACCCAATACCTCTGCACGCTGAGACAGGTCATGAAGAGAATGGAACAGTACATGTTGCCGTAGAAAAAGCCGATAAGCACCTTGCAAAGACCCTCCCCGAAAATCCAGTTGTTGCCATGTATGTGATAGGCAATCTTCAGGGGGAACCAGATGACAGAGAGGAGGTCGGCCAACGCCAGATTGGCCATGTAAATCACAGCTGGGTGTTTCTTCTTGGTTCGGAAAAGAAAGACCCACAGGGCCATGCCGTTACTTGGCAAACCAATCACAAAAACAAAGGTGTACACAATTGGAAGAAAGACGGTCGTCAGTTTTCCAGTGAGAACAGACACAGAAAGCTCATCCACGGAGAAGCCTGAGTCCCCTGTAACTCCTTTTCCAGGGACTGGAGATGGGTTGGCAACCTTACCAATAAGACTTCTTCCTCCAGAGGGTCTTTTGGCTCCTGTACAAGAAAGGCAGACCAGGGTCATTACAGAGATAAACATTTCAGGAGTGATGCTAGTTTGTTCAAATGAAAGTAGGTGAGGATGGAAACACACTATTAGAGGATTCTATAAAATGCTTATGGAGGCTTTCTTTGGGTGATGAGATTGTTCGGGTTTCTAATGTCTGTTTTTGCCTATTTTTTTGTGGGGGGTTTTACCTTACCAGTACTTTTTATTAGGGTTATAGGGTACATGCTGAAGGAATCACAAAAAGACTGACACCATCTCAGTTAACTTTTACAAACTGTCCACACTCAGCAGTTCCCAACTGTTCTGATTATAATGCCCAGCAGCAATCCTTGGTTGGGTCGATTAGTAAAAATCATTTTTAGATTGTGTAGTAATTTCTTTCCAAATTCTCAAGTGTGTGAAATCCCAAGCCCTGCCCTCCTGACATCGGCTTTCTAATTTCTCACTTTATAATGATCATCTCTCCCATTCTGGCCCTGAGTCAGGAGCCAGCCTGGCCTATTAATCATACCCTATCCCAGAACGTGGCATAGGGAGAGTCCCAAGACCACGAGGGACAGTCCCTTTCCACCCACAAAGATGATCCAATGGGCAGGGATTCCCCCACATCTGAGCGAGCTTCCTAGAGACCTTGCCCTGGAAGCTGGCTGGCAGGCAAGCCTCCAGCCTCAATGTCCTGGACAGCTGGGTGTACTGGTGACACATTTGTGTTCTGACTTTCAAGCACTTAACATAGTGCTTGTTAGTACATAGTGGGAGTGCTTACTCCCACTCTCCCGTATTATGAATTTAACTTTAAAAACCACAGACAAATGAATGGCATATCCACCCTGCATCCTGCCCTAACCAAATGTTTATGGACCTGCAAGAGAAAGTAAACAACAAGTTGAGGACACGGAAGAGTTTTACTTTAATTCTGGGGAACAGTAAGCCTCCACCAAACGACTCCAACCATAGGGTACCAGGATGGACTTTAAGCCTACTCATGAGTTTATCCAACAGTTTTAACACTTGGTCATCATTTCTCCTCCTCTACTAGCTTTGCACTGTCCAGCAGTTTTAAGGCTTCCCCCTTTAGGACTAAGTAGCAGATTAGCCTGCGTAGAGTGTCGGAGAATGTAGAGGCCAATATTTTGCTTTTTACTTAGTGTGATGGATAGAAAGGTGGCCCCAGAAGAAATAGCCATGCCTAATCCCCTAAATCTGAAAATATTACCTTATGTAACAAAAGAGTCATAGCAAATGTAAGTAAGGATCCTGAGATGAGAAGATGATCTTGGATTATCTGGGTGGGCCCTAAATTCAATGACAAGTATATTTTTAAAAGAAGAGTAGAAAGAAACTTGAGACAGAGAAGACACAGGAGAAAGTGACAGGGCAATGGAGGCAGAGACTGGAGTGATGTCAAGAAATGCATCATCATAAGGAAAACCCAGTTTTTTCCTCAGTACAAAAAAAAAAAAAAAAAAAAGAAGGCTTGGCTCCTGTAGCTCAATAATTGGGGCGCTGGCCACAAACATCAGGGCTGGCTGGTTCCAACCTGGCCCAGGCCTGCTAAAAACAACAATGACAACTGCAACAAAAAAATAGCAAGGCGTTATGGCCAGCACCTATAGTTCTAGCTCCTTGCCTTGGGAAGCTGAGGCAAGAGAATGGCTTAAGCCCAAGAGTTGGATGTTGCTGTGAGCTATGACACTGAAGCACTCTACAGAGGGCAACATAGTGAGACTCTGTGTCAAAAAAAAAAGTGACTGGGCATCATGGCTCACACCTCTAATCCTAGCACTCTGGGAGGCTGAAGTGCGTGGATTACTCAAGCTTAGGAATTCAAGACCAGCCTGAGCAAGAGCAAAACCCCATCTCTACTAAAATAGACAAACTAGCTGAGTATTGTGGTGGGCACCTGTAGTCTCAGCTGAGGCAAGAGGATCGCCTAAACCCAGAACTTTGAGGTTGACTGTAAGGTATGACACTATGGCACTCTAGCCTGGGTGACAAAGAGGGACTCTGTCATAGAAGTACTGATACTTTCTATGATGTGGATGAACACTGAGAAGATTCTGCTAAGTGAAAGGAACCAGTCACCGAGGACCTTGTATTGTATGATTCTATTTATATTAAACATCTAGAATAGGCAAAGCCATAAATAGAAAGAAGATTAGTATTTGCCAAGGGCTGAGATTAAAAAAATTGGTGGAGACAGCTACAATGTTTCTTTGGGGGTAAGGAAAAAGTCCTAATTGACCACCTATTGATTGTAGTGATGGTTGTGCAATTCTATGAATACTCTCTAAAAACCACTGAACTGGCTTGGCCCCTGTGGCTCAAGTGGCTAAGGCACCAGCCACATACACCTAAGGTGGCAGGTTCGAATCCAGCC